AAAATTTAAATAATTTGAAGATGAAATGTCAAAAAGTGACAAATGAGGTGTCATTGGTACTCATAATGTAGTTTTCTATCATGGTCGGTGCACTCATATTACCGCTTTGAGCCAGCTTTTTTAGTTCACTCGTGACCGCCGATGGCTCTGCCGGTCTTATAAAACTGAGGTTATGAAAGTGAAAATGAAACAAATACCGAATCCTTCATCGGAAATGTCATTTTCATTGGCCCTCAGAGCTGGGATCGTTACTTGAAAAAAGTAACGCGTTACTTTACAGTTACTTTTGCTTAAAAATAACTTGTTACTTAAAATTTACAGTTACTTTCGAATAATGATAGCTTTATTTTTGTTACTTATTGGAAAGTAACGCGTTACTGTAACTTCTTTACTTTGAAAGTAACTTCTTTACTTTAAAAGTAGTTCGTTACTTTTAAAGTAACGCGTTACTTCAAAAATAACTATTTACGTCGAAAATTGCGTTATTCCTTAATTAGACTCACTAACACAGCAGTCCAAACAATCAAATAAGACCTATACGAAATGCCAATATGTTTTTAGTTTGTGAGTCCGACTATGTGGAAGAGTATTCTTGCAAAATTCAAACGGATTAAGGATTAAGCGACTGAATAGAGCACTTGGTTTTGGACAAACCTCTCTTTGAAGCGTCCCAGTGTCTGCATATAGTGTCTTTAGAGCAGAGGCGGCGCGTGGCACGCCCAAAAACGATTATTTTGAGCTTTCAAAACAAACTTTCTGTACTACCAACATTTTATTTGACATACAAAGTTTTTGGATTACTTATTTTCCTTTTCCTCACTCGCCAATTATTTGTAAAGAAGATAAACAAATTGAGAGAACAAGTTACTTTCATAGTAACTAGTAACGCGTTACTTCCAGCGTTACTTCAGGAAAGTAACGTCGTTACAGTTACTTATCAATCAATCTGAAAAGTAACGAAGTTACCAAGTAACGCGTTACTTTCAGTAACTCGTTAAAGTAAAGTAACTTTTTTTTGTCGTTACTCCCAGCTCTGATTGGCCTTTTCGTTCATTCGGCATTTCAAAATTTAAATTTAAATTAGGCAATCTACTGACCTGTCAAAAACGAAATTCAATATGGAAGTTCGGGTCAAGCACTGTGTTGTTTATTCTGTATGTCATTGATTCTGTCACATTCTGGACAAACGTCCAGATTTGAATTATCGGATTTTGTGTTTTTTTGTGTGTTTAGGTATTGTGTTTATTAAAATCCCAGCGATTTGCATCGTAATTGGGTGTGGAAGTCGAGGTAACAGGGATAATGTGAAATTTTATTAAGTTCCTGCTATTTTAAATCATTGGCTTTTGATCTACAAATATGAATTATCAAAACAACGCAGGGCTTTATGGATTGCTGCAACTAAAAGCTCGATTTTCCCTTAATAATAATATCTTAAGATATTCACTCTCCATCTCAGAATTTATTAATAAATTAAAAAATACGTAGAAACACTATAAACACTATAAAATTCACTTTGAAAACAACAAGGGCCAGTACACTAAAAAATACGTAGAAATACTAAAGACTATAAAATTCACAATGACCAAAACCAATGAAAAATACGTAGAAACACATAAAATTCACTTCGAAAGCAGCAAGGGCCAGAACACAAATGCTCTCCTTATGAATGTCAAACGTCACCGGCTTGTCACCGCAATATTTGACCCGAACGGCCATTATAAAATCACGTGATTGAGATTGCCTAATTGTCTTTTGATTCTGTTTATTCTTGCGAAAAACTAGGGACTCGACAAACCTCTGCAAACAGTGCCGACGATGAAATAGAGGCCCCACCGCCATATTTTTGAAATTTCAAATTAATATGAATACATAGAAATTAATGATGCAATTAGGAAAAGGATATAATATCTTATCTCTGGTTTTCAAAATCTTCAATTGAAAATACCAAATAATTCGAAATTCTTGTTGAGATCGAAAACGTATTTCCACAGCATATACAAAAACAATCAGCAGGCTAACTCTCACGCCGACATTTTAATTTATTTGTTTATTTCTGATGGAGGTCATAGGCGTGCGGTGTAGAGCGGAATTTTAGTCATGATTTTCAAAGTCATTTTAGTATATTCGTGTTGTCATTTATGGTGTTATCAGTAATCATTCTTGTATATTTAAAAATAATAATGAATTAGTAAGGATAAATATTATTATATGTAAGTAATATTGAATTAGTTCATTTAAAGCCAATACGACTCTGTGACCCGAAAGAAAAAATCTAAATCATTGTCAATCAGGTCCTGTCTCGTATCCCAAAATGGTCGCTGGTGACATCCCGACCATGAATTCCTTTATTACACGGGATGTCACTCAATTTAGCCTGCTGATTGTTTTTGTATATGCTGTGGTATTTCTATGGGTCCTGACGTCAAAGGGCAGTAATAATCGGGTCGCACCGCTGCCACACCATGTGCTGCTGGTGTTGTCAATGTCAAATCTATCATAAACGGCATACATAACAACATAACAATAATCTAAATCTACCTGCTCGCAGGTCACTGTCAACCAAGGACTGTGAACGGAATTTTGTTGCTGAGTGACGTCACACTAATCGGTCGTTTCAAATGGCGATGTTTCGAGCGTAACTTCAAATATTTATAAAAAATTAACGGCTGATTTTTAATGCTTGATATTTGGCATGACTATGTCTTTAGTGTAGTACAACACATTTTTGAAATAAAAAAAAATGTGAAAGTTCCCCATTGTAACAGATCTGTTACTTTTTAGAGGAGTTTATTACCTTTTTACCTTTTTAAAAATTCTATTACCTTTTTTTATATGTTCCGTTATGCAGTTTCTGCTCGTATCATTAAAGATATCTATTTTTTATATCCTAAAAGATTTTCTAAGTTCATTTTTATAGTTTTAAGATGAGAATTGTAGGATTTGTAGGGCCTGTCCAAATCAAAATCCAAATATATCTTTAGTTTATGGCCGTTTGCACCAACCATATTAAGGGAGGTTTAACGATAACTATGACTTAAAATGACTTTTTTACATGTGAAAATGTCATTTTAAGCTATGCTCAATAATTTTTTTTTACAAAACACGAGTTTTATTTTTTATAGAAGAATAACACTATTAAAAGTTAATCTCAAATATTATTTATTCATGATAAAAAAAAAAGGTTACGTGAAGTCCCATATATGTCGCCAGCTGTAAAAAAATCTATTACCATTTATTAAAATCTATTACCATTTTGAAGACGAACCTGTTACTCTTTATGAAAGCAACCTAGCAACACTGGCGCTAAAATACGACATGATATGTCAGCATTGGAGAGTCCAGTTTATTTACCTCCTATATATATTAGTCTATGTTTTCTATTGAAATGAGGAAAAATATACCTGGCGTCTCATTTAAAATAAGAAAGTTCTGGTCATTTCCGGTGAAACCGGAAGTGATAATAAATAATTGGATACGTCAAATAATGCACATCCGGGTCATAAATAAACACACCAAATTTCATTTGTTTATTTGGAAAAATAAAAAAGTTATAGGGGTGAGCGGGTTTTGAAAAACACCCGGTATATATTTACAGGAGATGGACATCTCTTGTCGCAAATTTGGCATAAGAGGGGAATTTTAAATAAATCAGCCACTATAGATGTCGAGAAATACCACATAATTCTATAGGTACTACGATTGAAACTTTCTTAAATACATATGGTTTATTCTAAAATACAAATGATGGTTTCCTAAGTTAAATTAGTAATTCAAAAATGTATCTGCTGCTTTCTTAAATTTAATTAGTTTTTCTAAACTACATTTGAAGCATTTCGAAATTTAAGTGATTATTCCAAAATACAAATGATTAAATGATGCTCTCTCAAGTACAATAATTACTTATTCCATTATTCATATGGGGATTTCTTAAATAAATGGTCGATTTTGGAAAAATTTTGGGTGCAAATTGCGTTTGTTTAGGAATTGCCGTAGTTTTGATAAGTAGAAGTTGAGACTTTATATAGACAATTTTGTACAGGAGATACAGGAGATCTGAGCCCATTAAGGGGGCTGAAAATTAGGTAGTGCGCCAGAATTACACGTATCCACATTCTATGGATCAGTCAAGTTTGCCGATATTAAAACAAAATATTTCATAATTTTGAACGACCTAAACCAAATTCTGCATACCCACTCCGAGAAACTGCAGCTGGTTTTTAAAATATGTGCAAACTTTCCAGTCCCCTCCCCCCCCCCCCCCCCACCCCAGGATAGAAGATGGAAATTTGAAAATTTTAAAACCACACCGATCATGTGTTATACTTTCCACCATAATTTTCAAATTTTGCATAGCTTTATGGGGAAACCTGTGGAAAAAATGAATATTTGTGGAAACTTAGTAGAATACAACGTTCGCCCCCTATTTAAAAAGCGGCTGTAGCAAAGTCTATTGTAGGTTCTCTGAGGGTGGTGTGCAAAATTATGAATTTTGTATTAAAATCGCGGTGGCGCAAGGGGCAAACTTGACTCAGACTACCTCGAAAAATCATCAGAAGAGGAATGAGGAATATATTTGTTTGACATAAATTTTACTTTTGATCGATGTCTCGCACAATAATTATTAATTGCTATTCTTTAATATGTTGCCTCATTGGGATTACTACCCACTATTAAAATTCGGTAGGTATATACCGGTTTTATATTAAATATTAATACATAATACATTTCTTATTTAATTATAGAAATGAGCAATTTGCATGATTAAAATTCGTTTGATGTCCAATATAATGCTTTGCATATTAAATTTCTTGTTTTCAAGAAATCAAAATCGATATTTTTCTATTAAAAACTATATCTAAGTAGTAGGTATCTACCAAAACAAACAACCCAAACACTTAAACCTGTATGAATTTGCTTATACATAATTAAAATTTAACTAGTAAAACCACAGAAAATCATTTATATAGCTATCTAGAAATTATAAACTAACTGTTTACCTCAATATAGAAAAATTCCAACACAAAAATTCAAACCGGTAAAACCAAAGGAAATATTCCGCGATGGTACTAGCGCGACGATGATATACGATGGTTACTAGTTACTATGTAGTTACCCGCAACGGACTTTGAATAAATAATTTAAACTGGAGACTAGTTTTGCTACCTATAATATGGTACGTTTCACCTGGCGCGTTTACTCAGTACCATGAAAAGTACCACTGCCGCCAGACTAAAGTAATATTATATTTATTAACGATGAACACACTATATGAAATTTATGATAAACATCCAATGATTACAGGTCTGTGGTTAACTTACGACTTACGCAATCCGACCAGCTAGTCTTTATCATCGATTCAAAAATAGTAAGAAATTGTAGGAAAGATGCAATAGATAGCGACTTATATATTTAATTGGTATGATTACATATAGTATAAATTAGAGTGGAAAGTAATTTATAGATTGTTGCATCTATATACTAGGTAGGTAGCTAGATCTGATGAATATATAGAATATACAACAAACTGAGCGTTTTCTTTATGAAATAAACTCGAAAACTTATACCTAGTTTCATAAAATGTGGGTTTGAAGCAGGATTAAAATATTCAATCGAATTCAAGTTTTTGTTTTTCAATTACCTCCACACGTCTATTACTGAATTAATTTCGTTTGCGTGTATTTTATTCAATTTAATTAGCTTTAGGATACCTATAAATATTAATTTATTTATTAATGTTCAACTTAGGAAGAATATTATTATCAATTTTTCTTTTAGAAATATCTTGTTTAATTAATTATATTATTAATTCTAATTTCAAGATTTGGAGAAAGTTCAATTGAATATGTTTTCACTTCAGTGATACTTTTCGTAATTATTCCATTTTCCATTAGTTCATTAGGATTAATCAACCAATTATGAAGGTATCAAGTTTAGCGACACTAATGATGTTTTTGCGGAACGGAAACGTAGGATCAAGAATACATTATTGTACTACCATCGAACGACTGGTTTAGTTAGATATTAGAAAATATGGAAAAATTCAATTCAAATTGCATTTTTATTTATTTCTTAAAGATTTTGGATCACCGTGTATTTTGTTATATCTTATAGAATAAATAATTGCACCTAAGATTGTACCTAGCGTCAGAGCCGGATCTAGGGGGGGGCGAACAGGGGCGCGTGCCCCCCTTAACAACTTAGAGGGGCGGCGAAAAGAGAGGACACTGTCTTACTTTTTTTTTATAAAACATAAATGTGCACGCAGACAAATACATACAAATAAATTCAAAAATATCACGCCTCAAATGAATCAAGAATCAATGTTGTACAGCAGTACAACATTCCATCCAGCACAGCTGTATTGAGCGCTAACCAGCACACCGCACACCCAGATGAAATTACTCGTCAAATATTGAGCGATTGAAGAAATTAAGTTTTTTAATTCAATCTTTGATATACCAATAAATTATTTTATATACACTCAAAGAAATAGTATAGGTTATTTTAACCAAAAAGAATACATAATTAACAATTCGGCAAATTTTGTTAAATTAAACTATATTTATAGTATTCTTAAACAAAAGCTAATTGTTATCACAATCAATGCAAAATTGTTGCAGAACCAAATGGAATTTCACTTCAAAAATAGCTATGTTAAACCATTACTTTGTCATGTAACTAATAACTTGTCGAATACTGTCAAATAATACTAAAAAATAGTAGATCTACCAGCATTTTAGTCGATGTACTATTATTTTTGAAGCACTAACAAGTATTAATGTTTAATTACCAGTTAAAAATGGTCGAGATTGACTATTATTGAAGCATCTAACTAATAAGTTGTTAGAGCAAACAAAAAATAGGGTACTTCAACTACTTTGTGGTTATTTAATCTACTATAAGTTTACTGTACACTATTTTATTGTTGAACAGAACAAACAAACTTTATGATGAAAGTAATTATTACCACAATATTTTCTATTTTACTATTTTAATATGATAATTTCACCCATCATTCAGGTTCGCGAACTATTTTCTTTTAGGAAAAACAAATTCAAAGGTAAATTCACGCTCAATTCTTTTTAAACCAAACATATTGTTGGTTTAAATCATTCAAGTTTGATACCTAGATGAAATACATTCAGTGCAGTGAGTTCACAATAAATACTCGTATTTGTTCTGTTCCTGTTCCTGAAATACAGTTTTTTTCTGGTAAGATAAGTACTTTGCTATAATGGACTTGGACATAGGAATTCATTACGATCTTGAATATACAGATTTAGTTAATACACGGAAAAAACACTCCACTATATTTAAGAATAGTAGCGTTTGCCCAAGAATATATTCGTTTCACTATTCCACAAGAAAATATAATATTTAATTCTAGTATTGCCCTATTATTAAGAATTGAAAATAAGTTCAACTTATATCCAGAATACGGTAGAATAGTAATTGTTTCAAGAATAAGGTAGATTTAGGTATTGATCAAGTATTGTTATTCTTATTCGAAAAATTACCTTTAGTTATCAAAAAAACTACAATTTATTTCCAAATATTACTTATTCTTACTTCAAAAATAACCTCTTATTGTTTTAACTACTCCTGTACTTGCCATTAATATTGAAACACAGTTTACTCTGAAGTATATTTTATTCTTCAAATTCTTGTTTTAAAAATTTATATAATATATAAAGGTATAAACTGATGGAATAATAACAAAAAAGTTAATTGTGATAAGTACAATAACAATCATAGATAGGTACATTTATTTATTAATTATTCATATACCACTGGAAGGTTGGGAAAATCCGTTATAGATGCTGCATTTTCTTCACTTTTAACGCCATTTCTGTACCGATTCATTTTCTTGGACAATTTTTAACTAACCTCCATTTTGGGAATTCGCTCTTCACTTTGTTCATCATTTATGTTCAACCATTGTCCAAGTCCTAAAATTAAAAATAATGTTTTTATAGACACTTTGTCAACAACTTATCCTAAAGCAAAAGGCAAATAGATTGGATAAGGTACTTCTACATGATGAAAGATAACACGCGGTTTAAGTTTTTACCTAAATGATGGCCACCCACGCCAACAATGCCTAATAATGTTTTGATTGTTTTTTCCCGGAAATTGAGCAGGAAAAGTGAAACTTACCTTCAAATATTGGAATTAAACTTTCCAAATCCCATTTCTTCAACAAAAAATCCATTTTATCACGGAAAACACTGTAAAAACACAGGTAGCGTCGCGTGGCGTCCTTCGGCGTCCCTTCGACCAAACTTCCACTTCATGTTCAATGGAATGAATGGGAGAGAACGCAACGCGAAGCAAAGCACAAAGGCGACTAGAAGGCAGGTTGAAACAAACATGCATTTCATTTAAGAATAATATACTCTCTTTAAACTATAGGTATTTCAAACGAGAAATTATTTCAACATTACATTAAGAACAAACCTATATTTGATAAAATATATTTTTTATTCTTGATTTAAATGAAAAATAATTGAGATGAATATTTAAAGAGTTTCAAAATAACATTAAGCAAATATTTCAATGTATAATAGAGTATTGTTTTACTAAGTAAATTATTACTGGATCAAATATAAAATTATAAGTATATTACTACTCTTGGATATAGAATTGCATTTTTTTCCGTGTACGATGCCAGCTAATAATAACCCATTGATAAACTGTGTCAATCAACGGTCGGGTCAACCCTCAATGCAAACCTCGCCTGACAAAGAAGACGTCTATTATAGCGAAGACTCGGAACTGCGAAATTTACTGGATAGGTGGTATATGGTATAAGACACTATTTTTAACCCATCTAAATTATTTTTCTCAGCCCAATAAATCACAGAAGAAAAGTTGCCTTATCTTCATTAGCTCTTGAAAGACTACACATTTTTCATTTTGGAAATTATGCATTATGGATCCTTCAAAGGAGCGGACTTCCCAACATTAGGAACTAGAATTGAATTGCAGCAAAAACTTACTGAATGGAAAATAGAAAATGTGAGTGAAAAAATAACATTATGCATTTATCATAGTGCTTATGCTTTTTTTCCAGAAAGTATCTACAGGGTCAATTTCACTACCCACCCAGATTCGTATGTATAAATTGCCTTATGGACATAACGTGAAATTTGGAAATATACCATACCTGCCTCCTATACTGTATCCATTATATAATTTAATTTCAGACCTATCTATTTAGTATATTTATATTTTATATTGTTAAGAAATAATTTGTTTTATCCCATTTTGACGTTTAAAAATGACATTATTGAACGCATAACAATAAAGGTAAGTACACATTTATCACCTCAGTGATTTAAAATATTTTTAACTCACTCCCGGCATTTTTCCTTGTACTTTATTTTTTCAATTTCCACAAAATGGAATAAAATTTTGTATACATCACGTGAGTTAAAATGTGTATTCATTCGAAGAAAATTAACCCACTCGCTGGGGCTCGTGGGTTAAACTTTCTTCTCATAAATAAACATTCATTTAACTCACTTAGTGTATAAATAACTATTATCTTTAATTATTAAACTGTTTTTGAAAAAAAAAAAAAAAAATGTTTTTTATTCTAAACACCTAATCCAATTATTACCAATAATTAGTAATAATTGGATTGAATTGTATATTTGACCATATTTTAATAAATAAAATATGGTCAAATATACAATTCAATTGGCAACAAAACAAAAAATAGTAACTGAACAATAAATATGTAGGTGGAGAACAAAAACTGTGGTCAATATATTATTTAATAAGGTTACTGTACAAGATATTATGGTTGCTCAACTATTAGTGGTTTATGTAAACTAATAAAGTAGTTTAGGGACTATGAAATGTTTAGATTATAAATAAACAAATATATTGTTGAAAATGACAATAAAAATTGTTTGCAAACAAGATTTTTTTAACCATATTTTTTTGGTTGATTTAACTATGAAACGAGATGGACGCCATTTCATATACTCTTTCTGGTTGATTTTACCAAGCATTTTCTTTGAGTGTACGATCTACACTGTAAGAGCTTATTACGTAACTCATTTTAGCCTGTTACGTAATAAGTTGTATTATCGTATACTTAGTGATGTGAGGTCATTACATCACTCAGTGAGGTAATGAGCTCATTACGTAACTCATTTTTATTGAAAAACTGCACTTTTTAAAATTCATTTATCAAAAATTATATATATAATAATATAATATAATCTATTGTGAAAAATTAAAACCATTTCGAATACATGAAAAATCTGAGTCGTACATAAAATGTTGTATATCACACGTATGGTAACGCTCATACCGTAAGTACTAGTGATATAAATAACTATTATGTACGACCCACCCTCCACTCTGTAAGAGCTTATACGTATACGTATGTACGTAACTCATTTTAGCCTGTGTTACGTAATAAATTGTATTATCGTACGGCCATTTGCACCGCTATAACTGAAGGAATACCTAATCTAAGTAAAGCTTCGAATGTGACTCTTGTAGAAACAAAAGTCAGAATCAAAGCTCCACTTAGATGGAATATCCCTCAAGTGATAGCCGTGCAAATGGCCATTAGTGATGTAATTAATATAAATCACTAGTGATGTAATGAGCTCATTACGTAATTAATTTTTATTGAAAAACGGTACTTCTGAAACTCATTTATTCGAAAAAATTATAAATATAATCTATTG